TTGGAGAGTCGCCGGAGAAGAAAAATTCGGAGGAGTGAGGAAAGGAAGAGGAGGAAGAAGAGAAAGTGGAAGCAGAATCGGAATAGATTGAAGATTGATTATTGAAGCGTTGAAGACTTTCTCGGAGACAAGAAGGGCAAATTCCGGGCAGGAGTCTGTGATTTGGGTGCCTCTTGCATTCTTTCGCCGACTCCGATTTCCCCATCGATCTTCGCTCTCACTCTCTCTCTCTCTCTCTCTCTATCTATCTCTACGATTTTTGTTTTTGTCTCTGTTTGTTGGGTCGAGAAGTTTTTTGGGATATAAAAGGAGAGAAACACAGACTCTGTCGTGGGAATTGGTTAAAATGACTTTAAATATATGCTTTATTATTTTTAATGTCGGTCTTCTTTTTCCTTTTTTTTTTTTTTTTTTAATTTATTTTATTAAATGTTACCATTATTAATAATTCAATGTTTTCTTGACTCTAAAATAGTACTCTAATTTTTTTTAATTATTTTATCTTATTAATGCATGATTTCTAAGATACATATATATTTATTTAATCAGTGAGAAAATTAATTGACTACTAGTTGTGGGTATAGAATAGTCATATAATCTATGAATTCTAAATTAAAAAATAGGAGAAAAGATGATATATTTAAAGTTAATTATAATTTGTAGTTAAGTGGGTTTGGTTGGAGAGTAAATGGTGGGGTGAAGACCGTGCGGGCTACGAACTGCGTTTGGTTCGACGCATCCTGAGTCATAGTTCCCAAGTTTGGAATTAACAATAAAGCCGAATAAAAGAAAAAATCTTTTAATTAAACACAAAAATTTTAATTATATTGTAAAAATGAAATTGGACTAAATTTATAATTTAATAAATACGACACGTGGGAAAAAACGCGATAGAGGAAACAGAAAACCGGGGGGTGGAACTTGGACGGAGGTGCGCACGTGGGGAGAATTAGAAAGGCTAAGAGTTTGCCACGTACGAAAACGACGTCGGCGCAAGTCGGAAGTCGAAACGCCTTGGCATTGGTTTGGAAAATCAGGGCTTTCCAGGAAGGTTGAGGGACAAGGCCACGTGGGGTGTCTTGACTCGTCCAAAAAAACATTATTTTTATTGGATTTTCTTAGATAAAAGCGCGTGAAATTAACCTCACCAATTTCCAACACTTTTGGCCATACCTAAATTTCTAATTTGTATGACGTGTTCTTCCAAAATTTTAATTTAAAAATGAAAAATTATTTAATATATAAACTACAACAACTATATCTTCGGTATCTTTGGTAGGAAGAGCTAAAATTACAACATAAAACTTAAAAGCTAGTTTCTAAAAAGTAGAAGGATGAAGTTTTGTAAATAAAAACTAAAATGTTGAAGGACTAATGTGCAATTTAGGAAAACAAAAAAAAAAATAAAAAAGAAAAGAAAAGGGTGGAAGTGTGTTTGACTTAAACGTTAAGTTGGTTTGGCAGGGAGGACATCTGATTTTGGTATCACACAGTTATGTTCTGTGCATGCTTCGAAAAGGATGTGCGTGGCCAGTGCAGCTCAGCGCCCACAGTGCCCTCTTTTAACCCCTAAATTCAACCATTTTTCCTTCTGTAACTCTCATTCATTAAACCACGAAATTAGGCCATTATTATATAAACCAAATCTATAATTTCTTCTTCTTGTTATTTAAAAAAAAAAAAAAAAAGGATGAGAGAGAATAAATAAATAATATAGAGTGAAGATAGACTTTAAAAAGCTGGCGTAGAGCAATAGCTTCATCAGAGCAACAGAAAAGGCAGTAAATTTTGTAGAAAGCAACCAGACCCCAACGCTCTTTACCCTAAACCCCCTAAGCCCACCTCCATTCACTTCATTTTTCTAATTAACCTCTTCAAAATATCCTTTCTTCTTTTTAATACAACTTTTAAAACTTTCTCATTTTATGTTATTTAATGCTGGAAAATGATTCACTAAATTATTGCTCCATAATTTATACTCCTTTTTTTCAGACTACTTGCTTCAATCGGGTTGCATTTAAGAACGCTTTTTGTCAAAATAAATATATGAAAATTAATACTTTTTTTGTAAAAACTTCTAAATTAATAATGAATCAACCCTAAATTTAGATTAAAAAAATTATTCATTCACAAAAGTCAATTTCTCCACCCCCCCCATTTACCCTCTAGTCCTTCCAATTTACCTCAATGCCAAATCACCCCCCACCCCAACCTTCTCCCTCTCATAAATGCACTCTACTCTACAACAAGGAAGATGAGCAAGAGAGAAGCTCAATGGAGGAGAGATGCATAGGAACAGGCGGAGGACAGAGAGAGCACTGCCCGCACCGTCGCCGCAGCACCAGTCCAGACAGAGCCAAGTCGACGACGACGACGGCTGCGCCACCTCCCATGAAGAAAGTCCAAGTCTTTTACTATCTCTCCAGAAATGGGCGTCTGGAACAGCCCCATTTCGTCGAAATCAGCCTCTTCCCCAACCAGCCCCTTCGACTCAAAGGTATGCCCATTCATTCGAAACGACATGTCGTTTTCGATCTCTTGAACTCTTTTTTAGTTTCGTTACGACAGATGTTATGGATCGGCTCACCGTTCTCAGAGGCAAGGCCATGCGCTCTCTCTATGCCTGGTCCTGTAAGAGGTAAACAAAAAACGAAAAGTTCCTCTGTTTTGCAAGACGACATGTCGTTTGCTATGCCTCATATTTTGCTTCCTTAGGAACTATAAAACTGGATATGTGTGGAACGACTTGTCGGAAAATGACATTGTATATCCCGCCGAAGGAGCTGAGTACGTGCTCAAGGCCTCCGAACTTGTTGACGTCTGTTCTGGTGAGAGACACCTTTTTAGCTTTTTATTTCATTTTATTTTTATTCTCCATTTTCACTCTAATTTTATATTTAGGGTCTTCATTAATAACAAGTGAAATTTTAATACGGAAATGTATTTTAAAATTAAAATTCCATTATATTACTTTTAATATGATGATAAAAATTTGACCCTACAAAGTTTTGTAGGACCGTATGAATGATTAGAAAATAATTAATTTATAATTATTTTGGTACAGAAAAAATGCAGGAAATTCACACGGGCACCAACGACAGGCGACCGGTTCAGGAACCGAACCTCCGGAGTAAAACTCGGAAACACCAACTCGCTCCGAGTCCACTCAAAGAACTCGACGACCAACTGTATTCCGATTTAGACTACGACGAAGTGGAAGACTACGAAAACGAAGACGTGGACAAACCCATTTACACCACCACTTCCACCACCCCTCACTCCCGGTGCTCTCGCGGCGTCTCCACCGAAGAACTCCCCGGTCCAACTCAGTCCCCCACCGAGTCAACTCCCTTCGACTCATCCCGCCTCTCCACTTCGAAACGGTTCACGTACGAGGACGAACTCGGGACGGCGCCGAGTAGGAACTCGGTCCTGATGCAGTTCATTTCTTGCGGTGGGTCGGCAGGTTCGAAGGAGAAACCCGGGGAGGGTTCTAGAGAAGCGGGGAAGGAGATGGGGAGAAGAACCGAGAGGCTTGGGAGAGGGGTTGTGTGTAAAATGGGTGGAAGGCGGATCGGAGAAGAGGAGATGATAAAGTATATGTCGGAGAATCCGAGGTTCGGGAAGTTGCAGACAGAGGAGAAGGAGTATTTCAGTGGGTCGATTGTGGAGTCCATTAGAGAAGATCGACATGTCGTTGAACCTGTGCTCAAGAAATCCAGCTCCTATAACGAAGAAAAGTAAGAAAAACATGTTTTTTTGGTTAGCATTTACAAACATGTCCCATAATTTGGGAATTGAGTTGTTAGTTATATGACATTTTATTCAGGAGCAAAAGAGGAGAGTTGGGAGAAAAAAGAGATGAAAATGAAGAGACAAGGAGGGAGGAAGATGACGGTGGGATGAAAGGAAGGTGCATTCCTCGCATGATATCAGCTGCCTCGGCCTTGGCCTTAGCCTCATCAAAGCAACCCCCCAAGAAGCCTTGAAGCTCACTCACTTCCCCACTGCTTCAATTTTGTGTCTCTCTTGATCCCACAAAACAGAGGCCTGTTGCTTTGTCCAAATATGGTTGCAGAACACTTGGTTGTTTCTTGCAAGTTTTGTATTAGCTTACTTTTTTGGAGCTGTATGCACAAGCACTCACATTTTCAACATTAGGGGCTAGAGTCATCTTCAGGGTGATTGATTTGGTTAGCTCATTATAAATTCACTTATTTTCTCCATTCAAAGAAGAGATATGTTGGGGAACAAACATAAAGAGATGGAATGGGAGAAGAGCCTAAACAGAGTAATCCAACAGGCCATTCATTGTCCACTTTAACTTGCTATCACGATTTTGATTTTAAAACGCGTGTGTGAGAGAAGGTTACACACCTTTATAAGTAATACTTGCGATTCTCTTATCACACCTTTATAAGTAATACTTCGATTCCGGCAAGAGAACCATCAAAGTTGTATTTGGAAAGTGATTTCCTGATGCAGTCCCAGTAATTGAGCGAGGACCAGCTACCCTTACCCAAAGCAAAAGAACATCCCATCAGAAGGGAAGCAATGAAACCAAAGCTTCTTAGGAAACTTACACTCCAACGTCAAGTGGCAGGTTGTCTCCTCGAAAGATCTGCACAAAAATGAAATCTGAGGTCAGTAAAGATTACTGTTATAGTCAAATTAGAAGCTGTTGGGTTGGGATTAATTCAGATTTTAAAGCTTTTCACACGTAATTGCTGGATATGAGCGTTGATGGGAAGAGGAGGAATCTGGAAATGGAAGACAAGATCCGGCATCTCCTACCTTGATTTAAAAGCAAAGGTGGAAGGGATATTAAAGTCAACCTCCGACTATCCCTGCATTTGGATCTGCTAATTCCAATGCCATTTTTTTAGCTCTTTTATTTAGCTGTTTCACATGCACTCACAATCTGCATATTTCTTCTCAACAACTCAGTTCTTACAAAATTTATAAATTATGGACAACAAAATGGAAGCGTAGCTAATAAATCAAACAAACAAGTGGTGGCTGCGGAAGTGAAGGGGGAAAGCACGTTGCAGCATTTATGGTTTCACACAAATCCAAGTCCCTCCATTGCCTTTTAAATATCACCAAACAAATGGACCCTCTTAAATCTCTCCTCCTCACTTTCTTCATCTTCTTTGTCTGTCCTTTGCAGTAGTTACAGCTATGGCAGCTGCTGTTGCTAATCTTTTTTGGATATTGATTGGCGTTTGTTTTGTGGTGGCGGCCTCGGCGCAGCCTCTGCAGAAGCCATTCATCGTCAATGGTTGCGTCTACTGTGACACTTGTCGCTGTGGCTTCGAGACCAACGCCTCCACTCCCATTTCTGGTTTGTATAATTCCTCCTCCTTACATTAAGATAGAAGCTGTTTGTGATTCTTAGTTGGTTTAAAAGGCTAAAATCAAATGAAACAGGTGCAATAGTGAGGCTTGAATGCCGAGACAGAGACAAATGGGTGTTGAAGTTCAGCAAAAAAGCCATCACCAATTCTGAAGGAAAATACACCATTCCTGTCTCTTACGATCACAAGGATGAGAGCTGCAAGATGGTTCTTGTGAGCAGCCCTCATCCCACCTGCAACCAGCCCGACCTCGGCCGAAACAGCGCCACCGTCATCCTCACCAACAACAATGGCCTCACCAACAATGTTCGCTATGCCAATGCCATGGGCTTCTTTACTCAACGCCCTCTCGCTCTCTGCCCCTCCCTCCTCAAACAATATCTCGACTACGACGAGTCGTTGTAAGACGTCTGTTACCATTTCTGTCTCGTGTCGATCTACATAATATGATAGAAATAGAAATCTGAAAAATAAAAATGGTTATAATTTGGACTTGTGATTTAGTTGATTGGATGTTGTTTAGAGTTCATGTTGTTTTTCATTGCCTTGGACAATGGATGATGTTCTTTAACCGCTTGTTGATTGGCATTTCCTTGACAGCAATAGTACGTATTTCAAAAACATATTCTCCTCTTTTGACAGAGCCTTGTCATTTGATTGTAGCATTACCTTATTATATGTTTGGAAACAAATTATCTAAATCTTTGATAAACTCCTAGTGGAACTCTAATTTTAGGCATAAGCATTCAAGACTTGTTTATAGGGCTGAATTGAGACCAACACAAATAGACAGCCCAATTATTTAGGCACTCAAAATCTGTCAAAATTCAACACTAATTCTTTATTCTTCACTCCATTCATATCTCAAATCCCAAATCGAAGTTGCATCTTGTTGGCATTGCAAATCGTCCGCCGGACTCGCATTCAAATCCATACTCTCTCTATGCATCTCAAACGCCTCGTCCACTGCTGCCTCTCCGATGCCGCCCTTCCAAAACCCACTCCCATAATCCTCCACCGTGCTGCAACCCGACCCATCCACCGCTGCCTCTCCAATGCTGCCCTTCCAATACCCACTGCCATAATCCTCCACCGTGCTGCTATCCACCCCTACCTCTCCGATGCCGCCCTTCCAATACCCACTGCCATCCACTGTGCTGCTACCCGACCCATATCCGCCGTCGTCAATCCTCGACTCGCCGCTGCTCGGCTCTGCCCTCGACAGCTCCCAGTTCATCCACTCCACCACGCTCATCAAATGCGTGTCGATCGACTGTTCGTTAGAAAATTGCCCCACGCCGTCGGCTCTGTAAACGCACTGCGTCTCGTGCTCTGTTCTCGCGTTCTTGTCGGCGAACCCCTTTGGCGCCTCGCTTTGTGGGCACCATTCGTTCTGGCAAGCGTACACCGCTGAATCAGCAGTGGCTTCTCGTTCGAATTCGCACTTCCGTTTCGTAACAATCCCGCCGGTGCCTTGTTCTGCCCTGTTTTCGTGTCCTCTGTTTTGGTGGTATTGTTCTTGATCTTCTTCGTCTGATGTTATTTTGAGGCTGTTTTTGGTCAATTGCAAGAGAGCTTCTTCTTGATTCACGACCTTAGTCCAAGTAATCGTCTCTTTCGCCGTCATTTTCGCCTGTAAATTCTTCGATTGTCGAACCAATTTCCTCATGTTGCCCAAATCAAGAGACATGTGTTTAATCACCGCCGCAAGGACACTGATTTTCCAGGACTTCTTGAGATCATGAGGCTTTTTATATGGTGGAACGCCCTGCCCACCGGCGACGCCTTGTTCGCCCCACCAAAGCTCCTTCCCCGTCGGCCACCACGGCGGCGCCAGACCCTTGTCCAACGGGAATTTCCTCTGCGGCGGAATACAGTGCTGCATCAGAGCCGACAGAATCGACCCTAAAGTTGTGTCCTGCAATTCTTGGAGTAGGTGCAGAAACGATTTGGTATCAAGCCCCGCTTCTTCGATCACTCTCGGAAGGAGATTCGCGATGTTCAGTGGAGCATTCTGTTCGAACCGAACCTTGTCCTGCCACCACTCACGGAGGCTCTCGGAAGAGCCGGTGATCGGTTTACCCTTTTCCGGCACGATCCCATAAACAAACCCTTGTGCCTTACAAGAATCCATTATCTTATCCATGTACTTGAGAATCGAATCTTGAGCTCTGGACATTTTCTTCCGGCGAGAAGCTTCTTCTCTGGCCGCCCATTCAAACTCTTCATGATCACGATTCTCCTTCATCTTTTTCAACCTCTGTCTGTCTTTCCACATTCGTTTCTTAAGATCATCGTAGCTAATTTCCTCTTCCTGTTCTTCGTCTCCATCGTGAGAGTCTTCTGGGATTTCTCCATGGAACTCCACCATCATCTGTCTGCAGAAAAGGGGGGTTTTAATCTACTTTCAGATACAATGAATTGGGTCAATTTGTATGAGAATGATTATATATAATGCAAAGATCGTGGGGGGAATGGCGGTGGTTTGTGGGTTGCGACACGATTGCCATTAACGAGGAGTTAAGGTTGACTTTGGAGGTTTTTGAGAGACAGAGCTTAGGGATTAAGGAACAGAGGCTTGCATGTCGGACACTTGTTAAGATTCTGCATCCTGCGATCCTTCGCTGTTTCCCAGATCTTTCACCTCCTCTGCACCACATTTATTACATTGGATCACCCAACTTCCATTTTTGGAACTCAAAACCATTAGTATAAACACATACTCACTTGTTATTATAAAATCCGCATATCGCTAACCAGAACTCTAAATAAAAAAAAAAAATTGAATTGTGAGATCCTAAGTTCATTGGAAGAGAAAACTAAAGGGTGTGGAAACTTGGTGTTAAAATTTTGAGAGAAAGTTCAAAAGAAAAATCTAAATATGACACTATCTACTAATAGTAGGTCTTATACAAATCCATTTTCAATAATGCAACATGCAATTGGCATCAGCAGCTTTGAAAGGTAAAATAGTCTAAAAGAAAGTGTAACATTCAAATAATAATTTAGAATCTAGATTGAACATTTTGATGGTCTTGACATTCTCCTAAGACGATGAGATGTACTACTTATTTGTCTTAAAATATATATTTCATCCTCGTTTATAAAAAATTGCAAATCAGAAGGGTCCTTTAAGGAGTGGGTGGAAACAAGGGTAGGTGCTCTTTGGGGTCACAAAGAACTCAAATGCTGTAGCAATCCATGCTTGCAAAAGCCGTAGAGATCTAATATGGCCCAAAGAAGCTCCCTACTTGAACATGTCAAGCAACTCACTTCGACCACAATGGTGGTTGGAAGAAGGCAACTCACTTCGACATTTCCTTGCATCCATTGCGACATGTTCATGTTACCTACTCATCATTTCTTAAGAGTGAAACAAACCAATACAAGTCTTCCCAGCATGTTTTGTTTCTAACATCTGATGGCCTCGACATTTACTTGTGACATGTTCACGTTACTTACTCTCTACTTTGAATAGTTAAGATGATCCTCACATACCGACACAAGTTATTCCACCATGTCTTGTCCTAACTCACATGCATCATCGAAATACTGAATTATTTTAAGTAAAGCACATTTAACCATGGAGTTTCTATGATTGAGCCATAAAAAAAGAAAGTACATTTTTTTGTTATATAAACATTTCTTAGCTAACCTATTCCCAAGATCTCCCGTTCATTCATGTAACCCCTATTTTACTCGTATGTCACACATTACAAACATAATTTTAAGTTTTCCAACTAAAACAAAAAATCAAAAAATCTTGAGTTGGATTACTAAGTCTTGTTCCAAAACTATCGAGAAAGTGTCTCATAAATTTCTCTAACTTTTAATTTTAAGTTTAATAAATTTCTAAACTTTTTAGGTATCTAATAAAATTGATTTTTTTAATCAACATAAAAACTAAAATTAAATATCACATTTAAAATTAAAAAGTTATTAAATTTAAGAACTAATTTATAACAAAACATAAAAATAAAAAACAAATAAAGATGATTATCCTTTGGAAAGAAGAAAAATGTACCAAAAAAATTGACACAAATCTTTATAACAATGAAAAAAGTAAACAACATTCCTTTCCATGTCACTAAGTAGCCATGATGTACCAAAGATTCGCTGCCATAACTCACCTTATACTAAATTTCCAGGCTCAAAATCAATTACATTATCAATAAATTATCTTTGAACCTTTAAAAAGAAAATAACTTTTCATATAAAAAATAATAATAAAGCGGAAAAGGAATATTCAAAATTCAATCAGCTCTCTTCAAGAAAGGAGGAAAAAAAAAAAAAAAAAAAAACTTCCATCTCCTTTCTTCTCTCTCATTCCACTAACAGCAGCAGTGCAGAGCTCCATCACTGTGAAAATGGCGAAGTTAGCTGGCAAAAGTTACAGAGAACAAAGCGCAATTTCCATAAAAACCGGACTTTAAGGAGCCGTTGCACTTTCTCTTTTGAAAATCAAGGGTAATTCCGTCATCTACTCACCTTTGCCAATGAATGCAACTATTCTCTCTTTTCTGACACCAATTTTCCTTGTTGCTTGTGCATATATAAACTGTAATGTGAAAGGTTTTTGCTTTGCTTTTGTTTTTAATTTCTAAAATCTGATTTTTTTTGTCGTACCCGTGAAAAGGAATTCTCATTATAATTGTTTAATTGAATAGTGAAGTATGTATGTTCTATAATTTCCTTTGTGTTTTTCCTTTTTCTTTTGAATTTTTGGTGTAATCTACACATTTTTCGAGGTGTTTTCTTGCTATGGCGATTACAGGAGATTCCCACTAGACTATCATGTTTTTTTTTTCTTGCTTTCTTTCATTGTTAGGTTCTCGATCTCCATTTTTCTTCATTATTACTGCCTTTCCCTTCGTCTCTGCGAAGATCTTCGTTTCAGAGGGTCGTTGATGACTGGTCATCTCAGCCTTGTTTTGTTTTGATGTTTTTTATTTCGTTTTCTTCGAGTTTTCCGTTGATGGGTTTTATTTTATGAGTTCCGACAGTCACTGCAATTTCTGGCTATCCTCTGTTTTTTTCTCTTACTCTGTATGTAATGTGAAGTGAGCTTCGCCTTCTCACGCCCATTCCCTTTTCTGGGTCTTGTCCTTTCTTTGCCAACACGCTTTCTCTGGTGTGGGTTCTTGATTTCGTGGGCGTTATTGCGTTGTTTGTTGAACAGGGGTTGCTCTGTTTTCTCGAGGGTTTTTGCTTTTTTTTGCTCTTTTTCTTGAAATCGATTCATCTCGATGCTCGATGCTGGGGAGTTTGTTCTGAAAATCAAGGTGGGAAGCCATTGATTTCCCAAGTGGGTGTTCTGGTAATCGAAATTTCATGGCTTCAACCTCGATTTCATGAACTGGGTCATTGAAATTTTTGGGGAAGAATGGGTGGTTCGAACTCCAAAATCGAGAACAACGAAGCCCTACGCCTTTGTAAGGAGCGAAAACGGTTCATCAAACAGGCCATCGATTCGAGGTACGCTCTAGCCGCTGCTCATGTCTGTTACGTTGAGTCCCTAAAAAACGTTGGCGTTTCTCTCCGACGGTACGCCGAGGCTGAGGTTCTTATCGAGTCGTCTATGTCATCGTCGGCCACCGAACTCGACAAAACGCCGTCGCATTCCTCTTATCCATCGCCGTGCCCGTCGCAAACCGCCGATGTTTCGGAATCACCATTGCAAGAAAGCCCCATTTCGCCGCCGATAGCCACCATTAGTTATATGGTCGCCGGAAGCAATCCCCCTCTTACCGTAAAGGTCCGGCCGAGTAGCCATAGTTATGCCTATGAAGAATCAGTCGCTTCCCCATTTTCCCCGCTACCGCGTCCGCCACCGCCACCTCATGAATCAGGATCTTCTTGGGATTACTTTGATACCCATGATGAAATTGAGAGCTTCAGGTTTATGGGGACTGGTGGGGGGATGGATGTGAACTTTGAGGATGAGAGAATGTGGAAGCAATTCAAGGGAGAAATGGCTGATGCCAAAGATGAGTTTCAGGAAGCAACTGCAAAACCAGAAACTCAGCTAAATGGTAATGAAAATGGTGGCCATATGAGCCCCTCTGGGGCTGTTGAAGAACAAAATTTGGAGATGGCAAGACAGGAAGGCAAAGAGCTTAATTCAGCTAGTTTGTCAAGCAAAGTTCTGCTCGAACAAACGGGTTCGAGAGGCTCGATCAGGTTGGAGAAGAGTTTGTGTACTGAACAGGAAGATCCTTCAGAGTTCATTACTCATAGAGCTAAGGACTTCCTTTCCAGCATTAAGGAGATTGAGCATCGCTTTCAGAGAGCTTCAGAATCTGGGAGGGAGATCTCTAGAATGCTTGAAGCCAACAAAATCAGAGTTGGCTACCTTGAAGCAAATGGTATATTGATGAGTTATATGTGTGTGTGTTTATATGATTTCTGTTAGTTGAATTGTTCTCTAACTTTCATTGTTGCGTCGTTACTGTTGCAGGAAACGTATCCGGTCTTGCTTTTTTAGATCCTTTACGTCGTTTACGACTCGTTTGTTGTCCTGCAAAGCCTGCCCTCTTTTCTGATGGTAAATTTTTTGGATGAAAGCCATTTCCTCGTTCATTTTTCTGTAGTTGATTCTTAACAAAGTCCTATTATACAGAACCTCATAAGACGAAGGTGATTACATGGAAACGGTCAACATCGTCACGGTCATCTTCGTCGAGAAATCCTCTTGCTGGAAAAGATGACGCTGATGACAGTGCAAGCGAATTTGTAGAAGAGTTCTGTATGATCTCTGGAAGTCATTCCTCTACCTTGGATCGGCTTTACGCATGGGAGCGAAAACTCTACGACGAAGTCAAGGTATGTACCTTCGTCTGACATGTTGCATTATAACATTGAGTTCCTCATTTAGATGATATCTTGAGCTCATTGTTTCAGTCGCTGAAATCTCGAAATAAGATTTAGGAAATGGGACTGAATTACCTGGTAACGTCATTGAATAAGCTTGTTTGTTCGTTTGTTTCGCTCTTACTTTTAGGCAAGCGAATCCATTCGGAAGGAGTATGATCGTAAATGTGATCAACTCAGATACCTATTTGCAAAAGATTACAGTACACAAGTCATCGACAAGACGAGGGCAGTTGTCAAGGATTTGCACTCCCGAATACGAGTTGCTATCTATTCTGTCGATTCGATTTCAAAACGCATTGAGAAAATGAGGGATGAAGAGATGCAGCCACAACTCATTGAACTAATTCAGGGGTAAGAAGGATCATTGTTTTTTCTTCGTCACAATCGAAAAGACGTTGTATATTGCTCATTTCTCACAGCTGGTTGCTATGCATTTGCTGTTTCGACGCAGGTTGATCAGGATGTGGAAGGCCATGCTCGAATGCCATCATGCACAGTACATAACAATATCTTTGGCATATCATTCGAAGAGTGCTACCATGGGTACGCCTCGAGCAGACGTGCAGAGGCAGATAACAGTCCAACTTCAACAAGAGATTGAATCGTTCGGCTTAAGTTTTGCCAATTGGATCAACAGCCTTGCATCATATGTT